AGCAGAAGCCATTCTACTGCATGGTGGAGACTTAGCTGGAGGAGCAGCAACTATCGGGAGCTTGCGCTACCCTTATCCACGCACAGCTCGGCCTCGTAAGTTCACCCAGATCAGCCAGCAGATGTCCTGGGGGCTGCTAGCGGGGGGGCACACGGAACCACCCCATACTCCGTTCGTCGTGTGCGAGCCTCTTGCAAGGGGGGGAAGGATCTGGAAGCTGAAGGCAGCGACTAAAGAGGTCGTCCAAACAGAGGGCACGAATACGAAGCTGGGGTGAAAGACAAGCGCACTGCTTGTGGGGAGTTGATCCAGTGACTAGTCATGTCGGCGCTTGTCTTCAGAGTGAAGTCCAGCAAGCGGAGCCAAAGCGCGAGAGACTATCAGAACCCCTACCATCATGTTGTACGCCAAGCTGCCTACATTGGGGCCAGAGAGGCAGCTTACACCAGGCCATTTTGAGAGTTGATGTAGCTTATGTTAACGAAAGCACCCAAAACAGTGCACAGCCGGTAGAGACCCGGGGGAGGCAGTCAGGACAAGGCGAAACTTCACCCTAGCACCGAAGCAAGCTAAACATCAAAAAGACCGAACCAATATAAATATGTATGTGCATATGTACGTCACCTGCTGTCTGGTTGCTTGATTACTGCATCCGAGGCCTCGAGTGGCAGGTTGCTCTTGACCTGCTGTTCGAGACCAAGCCAGCACTTGCCTTGACCAAGACTGCAGTGACCGTGGGTGCTGCAATCAGTGCCTGCGGGAGCAGCTTTGAGTGGATTCGCTCGCTGAAAGTGCTCAACTGGGCCCGGGATGACCAAGTGAAGCTGGATGCAGTTGTGCTGCTCGCCTCGGGCAGTCATGTCATGTGGATTGCCATCGGCAGTATTTCCTATAACGAGCTAGTCTGAGTGCGGGCCCGTCTGACAGTGCAAGGTACAATGCATCCATCGCTGCCTGCGAAAAGGGCTATGCTTGGGAGATAGCTCTGAACTTGCTCGGCAGGCACCAGAAGTGTTTCACAGCAGACGACTGATTTGCGCGATGTGATTCTAGCTTGATCGTGGACTCTTACCCTTCCGTGAGGATGCTGGTATCTCAAGTTGACCCGTCCTATGTTACATATAATTCGCTGATTAGCTGCTCGGAATGAAATGGCATGAATGCTGTTTCGTCAATACATGTCAATACACTTCTGTGCTGAAGACGCAGATGCTGGTGAAGTGAGAATCTCAGGCGCATGTGAACAGGGCCGCCAGTGGCGGCATTGTTTGGAGCTGCTTGAAGACATGCGAACGGCTCAGCCCTCAGATCCACGTGAACTCTGCTACTCTTTGCGTCGCTTGGAGGGAGCGCTGAGTTTTGCGGAGGCTGCGCTGCAGTGCGGCAGGGAGGCCTTCGGCGGCGCCCTTCTGGCATGCACGCGTGGGCAGGTGCTTCTACCGACGGGTCTTGACAAAGCCCCCGTTCATTTCTGGGGTTTGGAGATGGCTGGAGGCTTGGCAGACGGCGCTCCTGCTTTGCGGTGCTATGTCATCGTGCTCCGTGCAGAAGGACTCATCTCAGCAGCCTCCGTTTGCATGTCTTGGCTTTGCACGAGCGAGGATGCTGACGTTTGCTCGTCAGCAGTGGTCGCATGCGAAGCTGGCACTCGTTTCCACGCGGTCCCAGCCCGAAGCCTTTCGGCGCGCTTCTGCTCGCACAGCACTGTGTCGGGGTCCCAAGGCTGCAGAGCTGCTCTTCGACATCACTCTTCTCACCCAAGCGGAGCTGCAGTGGTAGGAATCAGGAAAGAAGGGGTGGATGCCGCTGTCACGTTGGGGCGTCGTGTAGTCGTGTGTGGCCAGATGATTGGCTCAAGCGACACAAAGCGGATATACTGAGCCGAAAGGGTGGGCAGTCTTCGGACGAGCGGAAGCAGATGTGGGGAGCCCAAAGGATCCCTTGGAGGATGCGATCGATGCGGCTGCTTCATGGCCTCCCCTCCACAGAGCCGGGAGTTCTCCAAGCAGCGAGTCTCAGAACTCACCAGACTCGGCAAAGCGACGAACTGGGCCAAAGCTCTCAGTCTCGTGGCCGCTGAGAGGGGCCCAGACCTCGATGTCTTTGCCGTTGGAGCGAGCATTCGTGCGTGCGAGCCCGCTGCAGAGTGGGAAGTCGCACTGTCCTTGCTGTCGCTGGGCCGTGCGAGTCGAGTCGTTCTGAATGACATCGCCTACAACATTGCGATTAGCGTTTGCGACAAGGCCAAAAAGTGGCATCAAGCCATTCTGCTTACTCAGGACATGGAGGCTAATCATGTACAGACGGATGTGATCACTTGGAGTGCTTTGGTCAGTGCTTTTGCCAAGGGCCAGCAATGGGAACAGGCCTTGGAAGTCCTGCAATCACTGCCATTACGCACCGTGACACCAAATGAGATGACATACAGTGCTGCAATCAGTGCATGCACGGCCGCGACGCCGTGGCCTTGGGCCCTTGAGATTGCAGAGCTCATGCAACAGCAGAGGCTGGAAGCTGATTCTGTCGTGCAAACCGCCATGATCACCGCCTGCGGCTTCGGCGCGAAGTGGGAAGAATGCATCGCTATTGTAGCAGCCATGCAAGGTGAACCTCTTCGGCAAATAACTTGCAATGCATTCATGACCTCTTTGCAGAGGGCAGGACAATGGACTCGGGTCCTCGATGTGCTTCGTGACATGCAGCAGAAAGCTGGAGTTTGGAAGAATTGCACCCTTGACTCCTTCTCCTGCTCAGCTGCCATAGCAGCATGCGGCACTGGCGGCCACTGGCAGGAGGCTGTGAGCCTATTTGTGCGGACTCCAGTGCAGTCAGTGGTTCTTCTGAATGTGGCCATAGTCGCTTGCGGTGAGAACTCTCAGTGGCAATGGGTTCTGCAGTTGTTGAGCCACAGCCGTGTCAATCGGTTGATGCCCGACACCATATCGTGCAACTCCGCCATAACAGCATGTCAGACGTGCGGACGCTGGCAGGAGGCAGAGACGATCCTGGAAGAGATGACGAGACAGGCAAGCTTTGCATGGCACGCCCCACTCATGTCCTCCCCGAAGCAATCGAAGGTTACGGGTTTTGGCACTAGTTTGAGGCCTCCAGGACCCCTGTATTTACAGATGAAGACACATATGGCAGCAACCACGGGACCCCGGTCAGGGCAGGTTACTAATTGCGTGATTCTGGGAACCAGGTTGACCAGGAAGGAGGCCTGTAAAGTCTTCGGTATTCTTTGGGGCGACCCCGTTGGAATCTCCAAGCCCTGTGGCTTTCCCCGAGCGGATCCCCCAGGTGAGTGCCGCTCCGGACCGGATCACGCTGAATGCTTTTATCACTGCTTGCGGGGTCGCTCAGCGTTGGCAGCGAGGCATCTCGGCCTTGCTCCGTCAACTATCTGCTTTCAGCAGTATAGAGCCTGACACGGTAAGCTGTAATGCCGCTCTGGCTGGATGCCAAGCACAGTGGAGACAGTGCGGGGCTCTTCTGGAATTTGCAGCTGCAGCAAGCATCATCATCGATGAGGTGGGGTGCTCCGCCGCCATTACCGCTTTCGATCGTGGCCATTCCTGGGAGCGTGCCGGCCTAGCTCTCTGTGCGATGCGCGCACGCGGCCAGAACATAGTGGCTGCCAACTCAGTGCTCGCCGCGTACGAGAAGGTCGGTCGATGGGACTCCGCACTTGCACTGCTTTACCGACTCAGTATGCATCAGTTGGAAGCAGATCGAGTTAGCTTCAACAGCTGCACGAGCTGCTGTGAGAAAAGCCTGTTCTGGTGGCAAGCCATCGATGTCTTCCAAAACAAGATGCAGTACGACTTGATCAGCTTCAACGTGCTGCTGCGCTCGTGCATGCATGCGGGCGATTGGGAGGCGGCCGTAGCTTTGCTGGCAAGGATGGACGAGGAAGCGCTGCAGCCGACAGAGATGAGTCTGGCTCCTGCGATCGAGGCACTTGCAGCTTGGCGCTAGCTGCAAGTGCACTGTGACAATACGATGTCTGCACGCAGCAGCCCTTCGAATTTCTGTATGATGCGATGCTCACCAAGGTAGAAAACCAACGAGTGACCACGACTTGTGCCACTCAGCAGCAATTTGGACCTTGAATGGATTCGGTGCAAAGGAGCATGTGTTTTGCATTTGAGGACCTCCTCTACCAGATGCAGGACCGAACGCTTCTATCAACCCTGGGCGGATACTCAAAAAGTGGGCACTACGGTGGGACGCACATGAGTGCTTGCTTCGCATGAGTGCTAAGCATGGCATAGTTTTGAAACGAGCGAGCTTCATCTGCCTGGTCACATGTTTTTTGACGAAATGTGCCCAGTTCCAGATTTTCAGCAGCCGTCCAGGATCGCAGCGGTGCTTCTTCAAACCAACACTTGAATTGGTAAAGACGAACAGCCTGATGCATGAGCACTTCTATGCGGTTGGCGCTTTCCGTGGAAGACTGTATTCAAGGGCCGTTTGCCTACGCCCTTTCAACCCAACAAAAAACCCATCAAGTTTCTGAGTTTCCGGTCCATGCAGCGGGATCGTTTCAAATGCAAAGATGCCGCAACCAGTGCCACACCGGAGCCTCTTGCAAATCCATAAGGCGGAAAAGTCAGTTAAGGTCCATTGTAGCCGCTACGTTGCATTGACATTTGGTCAATGCTGCGGTGTTGGAATTAGAATCCTTGTCATTGTCGTGTAACGTAGTCGCCTGTTCCTTTTTTGCGTTGAAAGTGCAGTGCAGAACGAGCCATGCAAGGACCAAGATGCACGGCGTCATGAGAAGCACGTGTGTCACAACCACCCTGACAGTAGCCAGTGGTACCAAGACGCAGCAAACTAGTAGACTGCCGTCTCACGTTTGCCAAGTTATGAACATAGGATGATAGATTTTGCACTCTGGGCCGATTTCCTCCTTCAAACCTTTAATTCTTTCGTACCGGCCGTAGTGGCACGCGTTTTTAGACTGCCCATCCCAGTCCGTGTCCCTTGCGCGGGCCATGGATGCTGGCAGGCAGGTTCTGTGAGTACTGATGCTTTTGGGCTCATGTCTTCGGTGTGATCGGACACTCAATCGGCGACTCATGAACGATCCCTGGAAGCCCTGAAGTCTAGCAGTCGTCCGACTGAAATGCGATCAGGACAGCGGAAGCAGCCAACTTGAGACGCCGTACGGCGGGGCTCTCTGGCATCAAGAGTCGGATTTCCTTTTTCCAGAGATCTAGCCGAGGCAACCCCGCCGCCTCGGCCGCATGAACGCAGCTACCTCGGAGCTTTGAGTGTCAAGTAATTTCACGTAGCTTCGCACTGCTTCGCTTTCGTTTGGCGAAGTGAAGAGCTGCGGAGAATCTTCACCGTTGGCAGGCCGAGCTGGCGTGACGCCATCTTTGGAGGCACTGCAACGTAGTACAAATCAGATGACAAGAACTTCAGGATCCGGTTCTTGTGCACTTTGAGTTTGCTTAGCAGGAAGTCTCCAGTGTCAGCGGCGAGGAAGATGTGACGCAGGGGCCTCAGTGAAAGCATGTCAATGCCCAGGCCGTGAAGCTGTGCCTTCACAAGCTCCGGGATTCAAAATCATAGGTGGGCTGGAGACGCTGCGCAAGCAGCTTGCAAGACCTCCAAGACAGCCGCCGCCAAGGCCTTGCGAGTCGGAAAAACACAAGACTGCAGTGAGTAGGCGTGAAATTGGTGGCTCACCGATTCCTTCGTCCTTTACTCGGAGGAAAGAGAGCCCTCGAAGCAGTGGCCCAGTATCCATCAGCGCAGCATCATCGCAGTGGTTTGGAGCCCAGTTTCGCGAAACTCTTCAGCAGGTTTCGTTGGCCTTTCAGCCCTTTCACTGATACTTCAGGCGCTATCGTCATGCGCTTTGCTGCTAGCAGTTGGCCCAGCGGCATACTGCTGGCTGAATCAGGTGGGAAACCAAACCGGATCCGAATTTTTGTCCGACCCAGCGTTTGTCCTGACAGCACGATATTTCTTTCTTGCAGGTAGCTACATTGTGAAGGCAACGCAAGTTTCTGGCAGGGCCGGGCAGAGCTCGCCGACTCGTATCGAGGAACTGCCCACCCACTCGGTGAGACGGATTCCTGCCACACTGGGCAGGAGGCCTTTGCCACTGCTAGACAACAGCGGTGGTGAAGGCAGATCCATTTGGCCAGGCTGCTCCCATCAGCCATCACCATCGACCAGCATTGTACCTGGGACGTGACTACGTCAATGAGGCAAGGTCGATGCAGTGGTATGTCATGGCACGCCGTTAGTCCGGCCTTGGCAGGTAGCATCTGGAGGCATCAATGGCCTACTGATGATGGCCCGTGCCTTCTTCAAGACACCTCATGTCACCTGATCCGTCCTGACGGCTCGAGGTTGCAACCGTGGTTGCCGGCATCGGAATAGACATGCCTGGTCAGCAAATTCTGGCTCTTGGCGCAGACGGGATCTCAGAGTCTCGAAGACAAAGACATTCACTGGGTTACCGAGGAGCAGCGGCTTTGCTTTGCCCCAAACAAGGCGAGCCTCGTGTCTTATGCCTTCTCCATGGGCTTCGGCGCCTTCGTGGTGGCATAGCCCGGAGGTTTTTTTGTTTGCTTGCATTGGGAACGGGTTGCTTCTGCCTGCGGTCTTTACCGGCTCAAGCCGGCACCAAAAGCTATGTGCGACGTTTTGCGCCCTCTGCGATTTCATGTGCTTTACTGGGAGCCGGACCTGGGTAGCACAGACAAAGCTGAGCCTGAGCCTGGACTTGGAGCTGCAGGAACGGGGCCGAGGATTTGCAGTTCCTGCAGAGGCGTCGCCGAAGCATGGCGTTGGCGCCTGGACAACTTTCAGACCTGCGTCCGGATGTGTGGCAAAGAGGGGTGTGGCTTCAGACGGGAAATCGCCAACATTACCTTCATGGGTCCTGGGCTGCGCATCCGGTACGAGCCTGCGAGATTCTACCGGTACTTGACAGAAGTGCGATCCCGGGCCTTGACGGAAGAGACCGTGATCGGAACCGCACTCGAAGTCCGGTCGGGGGTGCTCGACCCGCAGCGGGCCGGAGTCGAGGTGGAAGAACTCGAAGCCGACGCTTGGCAGGCCTCCCTGGCAAAGTCGGCCGCAAAGATTCGCGTCTCGACGGCAGCGAGACCCTAGCAGGCAGCTCTAGGATGGCTTGGGGCTCCGAAACCTATACCCGAGAGTCAAAGCGCCCCTTGCTTGCCGAGGAGATCTAGCCGAGCAGGATGCTGGCTGGTCAGCTTCTTGGCTTGCAACTCTCGCTAGCAACATTTGATGATGTCAGCATGTTTCAGTGCAGCCCCGAATTTCTGGGGTCTTCAACCCGAGGTTTCGATCGTTCTGGATGCGGGTGGCCAGGAGCTGAGCAGCTTGACTTTACCTACGTCTGCGGGCCTTTGCGGCGACCCTCCACGATGCTCGGACTCGGACTTGCGTTCATGCGTCCTTGGAATCCGACAGCGCTACAAAGCATTGCAGCATTTTTGAGGATCTTTGACAGATGCTGGGACCTTACAAGCCAGCAGCGATCTGAGACGGCCGGCCGTCCCCCCCGTCCCTCCAAGAATGTCTCTAAGGTTCTTTTTCTTCTCGGTGGGCCTAGCGGGTTTGGCAAGCACTTGGAGGAGATGAAGAAGGTCCTGCACCGTCCGCACCGTGGCCTCCACCACGGCCCCGTCGCTCTCAGGATCGCAGGCGGCAGGCATCACTCCTATGTTGCATTGTGCGATCTCCTGTTGTGGCACGATCGCCAACAGCTACTTCCAAACCTCAACAACTTGATTCGACTGGGGCCGAAGGCATATGCTGAACTCTCCGAGGCTTTGCTGAAGCAGTTCGCGGGGCTTTGCAGGCAAATTGCTCCCGAAAACACCTCCAGCAGCATGAAGAAGGAATCAGACAACTCCTTGGATACCATAGCCAGACCGGCGCCCAGTCCCGCTCCGACGATGGCAACTGACGAGGAAATAGCCGATCGCGTCGAAGGGGAGATATTGAGACACGGTGGTATGTTGGAGTGCAACCTTCTTTACGTCTACAACCGACAGCTTCGACGGCTCATCGGCGACCAGAAGCTCCTGTCCTTCCTGCGACAGTTCCCTCAGAAGTTCATTTTGTCTTCAGAGCATGGGCGGGACTTTGTTCAGACTGTGAGGATGTCAGCCATGCCGGATGCTTTGCTAGGCCAAACCCTGCAGAGCGCCAGCCAGGAGGGGCGAAGAGCCGTTCATGACTTGGAAGCTGCAGTCGTGAAACAGCTGGGGTCATGGATTCCCAAGACTGAGGACCACGACGGCCCCTTCCTCCCAAGACTGGCCCGCGACAGTCGCGTGCGAAGGAAGCTCCAGCAATTCGTGGGACACTGCCCCGTCGCCGCCGTCGCCGCGTTGAAGCAAAGAACCTCTCAGCGGGGATCTTTGGCCGAGCCTCCAAGTGTTGGCTCTGGCCTTCAGCAGGATGAGCTACAAGGGAGTCTACGCAGGTATGGATCAGCTAAAGCGCGAAGCTCTGGAATGAGTTCGTCAGAGGCTGCCTGGGTAACCGAGCTCTTACATCTGCGACTCTTCCTGCTCGATCGGCCAGAGCTCTTCCATGTAGTGGATTCGGGGAAGGAGTGCACGAAGAATTTGCCCAGCTGCTGCTGCCACTTGAAGGTCAAGCTCGCAGACATGGCAGTGGAACTGCTTCAAGAACGAGCCGTGAAGGTCAGTTCCGAACCCAGGAAGCCCGGCAAGGCCGCAGATAAGGCGACAAACGTGGATGTTTCAAGCATCCCCACCCTCTTCTCAAACAGTGAAGTTCTCATCGTCGATATGCCATACAACGTCACGAAGACAGCCATTCTCAAGTCGTACCAGAAGCTGGCAGATGAAGAGGGTCGCGCTCGGCAGGTGCAAGCATGCGTCTCAGCCCAACGGGTAGTTGTGGCTTGCTTTAGTTCATTCGCCATCCGCCGCCACCGTTAGGGAATTAGCATAATAACTTTAACAGTAACTGTGCTTTCGAGAAGATCTGTCAAGGTGAGTGCGGTTGTCGTAACTTGCTTTTTGTCTTCATTCCGATGGCCAGCAGAGGCTCCAGCCTTCCATCTGCAGCTTCAGGATGTTTTCTCCTGACGTGGCACAGCTCCACGATACAGCTGCTCCAGAAACAGGCCACGTCTGAAGTTTCTTGCATTTTGCAGAGGTTTTGTAGCTTGTGACTTCTGGAAGCCACAGCCCTCACGGTCACTTGACAAGGAAGTCTACGAGGCTTTGGTTTATGGCAGCCTTCCTGCTGAGGGAGAGATCAATGCAAGGCCCAAGCTTCGCAGAATGTCTAGCCACGGCCAAGAAAGCCTCCTGGCAGGTTGCACGTTGTGCACAGGAGGGCCAAGACGCAGACGTATGTCTCTCCCAAGGGCACTCCGGCAACCACTCGCTTCCGGCTCCTTTCAAGCTACCGGACTCTTGGCCCCAGCAGTCACCAAAAAGAGCAGACTCCACGATTTCACGGAATCCCTCCGAGGAGGCATCTGAGCGGGGAGAGCGATGGGTCTGTTGAAGAGGTGCTCTCCCTGGTTGTTCCCTGGCATCGAAAACATGTCACGTCCTTGCCCCACACTCGGGTCCCAACGTCTTGCAGCTTTAATCTGCATTGCGTAAAGCATCCAGTGATCCAGATGGCTTGCGAGATTTAACTGCTGCAAGGAGTGCCGGCCGCTCACAGCTTTGGAGAATCAGATTTGCACGCACTTCGCGCACATCGGTCACAGCATTGTTGGGGACAAGCTGCAACTCAAGCGGGACAATGCCGTGGCCAACGGGCTGCAGAACCGTATCTCGACATTTTATCCTAGGTATGCAGCCCATACTCGCGGCTTAGGGTGGGAGCTCTTTCTGCCCGAGGTCTCTATCTCCACTGCAGACAGGTTTTCGGCAATGGGCAATTCGGTGCGTTTACTGCTGAAAGCTGCAGACCTCCTGAGTTCGTCAGACTGCTGCATGCGCTGGAGACTGAACAAAAAGTGGTGAAGCCTTCACAACCTCATCCTTAGGGCAGTCCTTAGCAGTAATCCAGATGTGCCCAGGTGGAGGAGGCCAAAGAAGGCTTTGCCACGAGCCAGCTGCAGGAAGAGCCCCGATCTCAGAGCCAAGGCCAAGCTCGAGAGCCGATGTGATCCTACTCGTAGCGCTTGAGGCATGATGTCCTGTGAGCCATCGCAAGCTGAAAGGTACGAGGAGGTACGCAGCATGCCACAGTCGGAAGTGGACGAGATGATCTGCCACTACAGGTCGGCAACGCCTAGCTTGTCCATCAGTCATGCTTCCGATGCACACCAACGTCGACAAGCTTGCCTTTCATTACAGATCTTTAGTTGGCTCATATCTAGGTACGGTAAGTTTTACAACCTCTCCGCCCCGCGTGGTTGAGAATCTGCCCCAGAGACATGTGGTAGGACATCTCTTCACCTGTGCATTGCTATGCCAGGAAGCGTGGGCTATCTGACCAGGCCTGCTGCAGAGAATTTCTGAGACCACCAGCACGCAACAGCGAGTAGGAACCCGACTCCGGCACTCGAAATCATACCTTGCTGGGACATTTGCGGTTGGCGTGGCACTGTCAGCCATTTTTTCTGGTCCATAGAGGGCTCAGACAGGTTTGTCCACCGTGGTCCACGAAGGATTCGTCAATCTTTTTCCACAGATGTCACATGGCATGAGCGGCCATAGAGTAGAAGGAGCAGATGTTATCTTTTCAGTGCGTGTTCGGCCATATTGAAGCAGTCAGGGCTGGGTGTGTAAGTAGTTCTCAGCAATACAAGACATGAGTCTTTTCGTTGCAAATCTTTTGTTTTGCAGAGGACGCAAATGCCGTGGCGAAAATCCTGTCGCGGTACGAGGACGTGTCTTGAGAGGCATGTACCATACATCATTATGGTTGTACCAAGGCTGCACGTGTCATGGCTTGTTGGAGCAACCAGCTAGAGGCTTACCTTTGGGAAGCTGTTGAAGTTCGGGGTTTACGCCACCGCTGTTGGCTATGTGGTTGCATACCGCCGGGTAATGCCCTTTTTCGCGAGGACTTTTGGGTTCATCACATGATGGCCGAAGAGCTGGGCCAGGATCCGAGAGCCCAAATGACGGTGCTCGTGTTGACATCCGCGGAAGCGACAAGGTATCCAACTTCCCAGAGGAGACGCCTATGCGATGCAGTCCGGCCTCGCCACGCCCTCAGAGCAAAGCGTGGAGAAGCGCTCTTCCCAGTGTTCAGCAGCTGCTTACGGGCATCGGCAAGTTCCCCCCCCAGTTGTTCTCCGACAGTCTTCAAAGGCCCAGGGTCCAGCAAGTTGATCATGCTATCGTGACATCAATTCGAGGCACATGAGATGTGCTTCCATGCTACCCGTTACGAACTGGTCTGTCCCGTCCAGCACGGAAGGTGGCTCGTCTCTCCCTGATTGCGACCTTGGTTAAGTTATCTCGAGGGAGGTCTTGTGCTCTCGTTGATGGCGGATCTATCGTGGTGATGAGTGTGGATAGTGTGGTGGTGGCAGTTGGATCTCGTGCGCTCTGTTTGTGCATGCAGTCGTGTTTTATTGTGATAGCAGTGATTGCTCTAATTCTGTTTGCTTGCATATGCAGAAGGCACACCATGTCCTATAATATACGAACTCATTTTGCGTGGTGCGCGTGTGTCTACTGAGATTGACGGCGCATCGCAACATGGCCCGGCCGATAGAATCCTTATGAGGCTCTTTTGGGGCCCTTTATACCGTAACACCCTTACAGAACCCCTGTGAATCACTTCTCTTTTGCATGAGACTTATCATTGGTTGTGCGTTTACATCATAGGCCACTGGGATGTCCTTCTTGTTCTTCGGCATGGTGCCGCTTCTTGGCCAGGACCTCAGACATTCCGTGTGGCAGCCACCATGCATTTCAAGAATGTGTGCCTGGCTGCTACTCATGATCGCTGTGGTGTTATGATAGCGAGCAGCATTTTCATCATCATAATCATCATCGTCAACATCATCATCAACATCATGATGATGATGATCATCATCATCATTTTCAGAGTTCGTCTTCGTGTTCCTGTTTGCTTCCGTCTTTGGCTGCTGCTGCTGTTGTTGTTCTTGTTGTTGTTGTTGGTGGTGGTGTTGGTGTTGTCGTTGTTGTTGTTGTTGTTGTTGTTGTTGTTGCTGTTGGTGGTGGTGGTGGTGGTGGTGGTGGTGGTGGTGGTGGTTTTGGTGTTGGTGGTTTTGGTGGTGTTGGTTTTGGTGGTGTTGGTTTTGGTGGTGTTGGTGTGGTTGTGCTTGTGGTTGTTGTCATGCAGGTTCGTCTTCAACAAAGATCGCTGTCGCTGTTGATACCCCGGTTGCGAGGTGCATTTCCGACTCGCCTGCTCAGGCCTTGCAGTTTCCACTCTTCTGCGGAGATGTGTTGGGCCAGAGCGGCCGTCCCAGACCAGGAAGTATGATTCCAGAATACTCCAATACTTTACACACGACTATGTAGATTGTGCTGCAGTATACAATATACATATATATATATATATATGCATGCACGCATATAGGCACATGCAGTCTTACATGTTATGCATCTTTGTTCGTTATTGTGACATGAATCATCGTACACGGGTAGTTTTGGCGGTGCCGAAAGCCGTAGACTGTACGACAATAGTGTGTGCAAGAGACACTTGCTCAGGTGGTACAGACCGCAGTTCTCCACCGCAATGTCGCTAGCCTTGAGTGTTATGGCCCCGGCTGCGAGTCTAGGGCAGTTGGGGCCTTTTTCCTTTCAGTGCCATCTTTCCGAGACGTCTGTGTCGAGCCGTGGACGAAGCACCAGAGTAATCGGGGCTGCATCGGGCTCAAGAGAAGGTCTCCTTCTCGTTTCAGGTCTTCCACTGCAGATTGCGGATGTCGGCTGACATTTTCGCCACGTGCTAATCAGACAAGCAAACTATGCAAACTCCGCAGCAAGTTGGCGAGAAATAGTGCTTCAAGCATCTTACATCTTGCAATCTGCATGTGTAGTGATGTTCGCCTTTAGTGTTACACTCAGCCTGAGCCTGGTGCTCTGGGGAGGCTCCTGACATCTCCTTCAGTCTCCTTCCGCCTATGAGAGCTCCGCAACAGGCGCAGTTGAAGTCGGGCAGCTCGCCGTCGATGCATCGGGGGAGATCAAGGCCGGCTTTGTTTGTCAGGAGCCCGAGCATGTAGGCCCCTGTAGGAAGCCCGAATGGTAGATGCAGGTAGGCCTAGGCAGGATCGAAACCTGTGCGTTGAACCATTTTTGTGACGAGATCACTGCCTACCTGGATGTTACCGATTTTTCTGTGGTGAAAAACCACAACATGTTCGCATTGACTCTTGCCAACTTGCACAATGATCCATGTTCTGAAGCGGTTCTTGCGCGTTCAGTTTTTGCGATGGCCAGGCAAGCAAGGTGATGCGAAGACAGGCCTTGGACGCCCGATTATGGCGAGTGCATGTCCGGAGCGGCAAGCGGCGGTTAATGTTGCGAGGCTCCGCTGCTCTCAGAGCTGCCCAGCACACCCGTCGACTGCCGCATGCGCAACTTCAGCCGTGTCGATCACGTGTGCCCATCAGAGATGACAGGCGGAGCCTTTCTCTGCCACTCTGCTTTAGGCAGCAAGGTACTTGAGTGTCCCGACTTGGATCTAGGTGAGGAGTTCTGCAAGACACGAATGTTCTTGGACGTGCATGGCAACTTGAGGCAACAGGGCTGCACGAGCTTGTTCACTTGCCTGCGTGCCATGTTTCCCATCTGGATGCCAGTTCAGGCCTTGTAGCTGGTTCATCATCGCCCCCAAGAATCCTCCAAACTGCGATTGGGACGGCAAGTTAGCTTGCGACGAAGAGTCCACCGAAGCCATCAAAGCAACGAGGCCCCGTGAGACTGCTGGAGGGAGATTGGCCGGGCAGTCTTGCAAGTGGCTCTGGCAGGCGTGCCGAGATGGCCGCAAAAGGAGCGAGGTCGGACGTGTGACTGTAAGGAACTGCGGACAAAACGAGTTTTGAGTCAGCCGTGAAGCCGGCGACGGCAAGCCCGGCAAGCGGCTGCCAGCGATTCTCGAAAACACTCCATAAAAACACGGCCAATGCTTAGGCCACGGCTCTGTTGACGCTCGGCGCCTTCGTGAGCCGCGTGGTGGGAAGCCGCTGTGCCCAGAGCTGTGGCGCTCCGTGGCACTTCGTGGCTTCACGCCAAGGATCCCCAAAGTGAGCCGTAACTGCTGCGAGGCCGCACGCCCATCATCAGCGGGCTGATGATCATGGCCAACGGCGCAGCCCTCAGCATAAGTCTTCTTCGAGCGTCAGCAGTCAGTAAATGAAGCAGCTGCATGGCACAGATTCGGGAGAGAGAGAGAGAAGGGGGGCGCACGAGGTTTTGCAGCATCAATCATGGCTTTCGCTGTGAGCCCGGCACCCTGCTCCACGGCTGGGTGAGCTCCAGCGCAAGACTGGCTGAGCCGAGGTCAGATGCTCGTTTCTGCCGGCGGAAAGGCCGTGATGGCAGCTTTCAGTCGTGGCGACGATGGCACCTGATGCAACGGCACAGGGGGCCTGGCCCTCCCAAGAGAGACCTCGCCACTCGGACCCTTCTGCCGCATCCTTACTTCCAAGTGATAAACAGCCCGGGGCGGGGCACTGCTTGAACGTTGTTGAGCTGTGCGTTTATGTTTACATTGTTCATTCATGTTGCTCGCGGAGGCAACATCCTCCCCGGCGGAAGCTGGAAGGCACCAAAGGGTTGGTCAGCTTTTTCCAGACCGCAACACATCTCGAGGTACTGCCTGGACCGAAGTGGCAGTGCAGGTCCCCGGGAGCTTGGCTGTCTCTGTGGCGAACAGATGCGCTCGCAGTTTCGCATCGGCAATCTTGTGCGGCAGGGTCCACACCGGGCCAGAGTCCTACAGAGTCGCAGGCGCCTGCGCGGGTAGCCTCCATTTCCAGTGCTTATTATGACGGGAAGGGCACCCAAGACCCTTGTGAGACCTTCCAGCAACGGCTTGGAGGCCTGGCCAACATTCAGACATCAGTTCGTACACTGCAGCTCCATGCTGTGGGCCGGGCTCTCAGCCTTGGGGACTTCGGGGCCCAGCCGAATTTCATGAACTTCGAACGCAGAAGTCTCAGGCGGCTTCTGCCTCAGTTGCTGAGGTTGCCGTGTGCTCGGCCATCGTGGCGTGGCAAGCGACGACGAGAGCAGCCAGTGCCTACGAGCGCCTGGGCCCTGGGGAGGGCTTTTCTTAGGGCACAGCGAAGTCACTTAGCGATCTCCGGCTCATACTAGGGCCTGCTGTGGCCAAGGTATGCATTGGGAGGTCATGCGTGTCTTCGCATACGGCCTGACCTGTTCTCAGCTCTACCATGCCGGTTAGCCTGTGCGTGTATGACTTGTCAAACTCAAAGCTATCTGCAAGAAGTCGAGTACCAACGGAAGTTACCAGATGGGACTGCTGCTTTGAAGCTTTCTTGTTTCGGCTCTCTGGTCCAGATTAGCACAGGTGCTTGAACGCGCAGACGTGTTGCAAGCTCATCTCCTTCCAGACCATGTAGAGCTCCCAAAGACGACTTCGACACAAAAGGTGAATCATCCAAGCCATTCGATGCACGCGCACACAGTCATGGCGACTGCCGGAGATGGCGATCAGCCGGCCTTGGCAAAGGTTTGCACAGCTGGTACTGAGCTGGGCAGCTAGGCAGCGATTGCGGACTCAGAGAGCAAAAACGTTACAATAGAGATAGAGGCTGCTGTATGAGGATATTAATTTCGCAGCTGCAGCGGGTGAGACAGTTTGCAGTGAATGTCAGGCGGTCGGGCCAACCCTGATGATGTGGACGAGGCAGAGACAGAGACCTATGCCAGGACAGGAACATGAGTCGCCGATTCCGGCCGATTGAGGCTTGCTTGCCAGATTTCTTCCTCTCTTTTGCTTGCCAAAAGGAGCCTGCAAAGGCGTGGATCCAGCAGCACTTCTGGGAGCTGGGATGCAGCTCGGTGAGCAAAGCCATGCAGCTCGCGTGGCCCCACGTTGCAACGGCCCTCCCAAAAGCCCCGCACTGCGGCCTGTGAATTGAGTCGTGCTTCGAGAAGTCAAATTATGCCATGCAACTAGGGCGAAGACCTGCGGAGATGATCGCAGACAAAGTGAAAACTTGCTTACGGAAAACAGAGCCATCACGTCGTCGAGGATTCCCCCACCGGCACCGCTCACAGCGACGCCTTCGAGACGGGGCTGTGCGCTTTCGGTCACACCGCCGACCCATCTGTTGGAGGCGCCGCAAAGCGGGTTCGAAGCAACAGTCAATCCATGAGGCGTCTGGAAGAACATGAGAGCATCGAAAATTCTTTGTGAGCGCAAAGTTCGATGTCCCTCCCGGCTGATTCCGCAGGAGACAAAGATGCGGAGATTGACGTGTACTCCTTATCTGGAGCTCACATCGGGCATGTCACCATGGATTCCGGAGACTCCCTGGGGGAAGCCTGTCTGCAAGATGAATAAAAATTGCGAGCTGGTAAACAGTGGAGTCCAAGCTGAACAGCATTTTGCAGCAAGAGCGTGTCAAGATGGAAGTTCATCACACGAATCAATATAAGAACTCGAGGCCCACCTGCTGTTGCGCTTCCATGACAACAGTCCAGACTTGGTTCCAAGTTTTCATGCCCAGGCTTTGAAGGAGAGAATTCGCGAGATGACAGGCAAATCCGTTGAGCTGGCGCTTGGGTGGCTTGCTCAGGTTCTGACAACATGTGGCCGGCCGCGTGCTGTGATCGGACATTGTATGGTCGCAAGTTTTTGAATGATTTGCTGACTGTTTGAATGCTTCCCGCCCAGGCTGTCGATCCTCAAGGAGCTTCATGCAGGGTTGCTGCAGCTGGCAGATTCAAGATACAGAACGAACCATAAACATGACGCGTGCGCATTCGGCATCTGATGCTGCCATATGTTGCCTCTCCACCTATGTCTCTCGCTTTCCTGGCTCTGGATCTCGCTATCTTGCTCAAGTCTCGCTTCGTGTGTCTCCTTTTCAAGCCCCGCCAGCGTGGTCTGCAGGACAATGACGACATGACCATAGCGAGCAGTGGGATTCTGGAGACATTGCACGTTCAGGCCATCAATGTTTCTTTGCATAGAGCCTCACCTGCAGTAGGATTTTGCTGCTTTGTGTCAGACATGCCTGCGCTCGAGCATCTTGAGCCGAGGATTCGTCTACTCGGATGATGGCCGCTGCGCCGGGATCTACCTCATGGACGATGGGACTGCCGAGATGTTTACGTTACATGACTCCGATCAGCTATCACCAGCCGTTCCTAATCGAGGGGAGTTCGCTTCTTTTACACAAGCTCAAACACCGAGCAGTGCGGGGCTGTGGACCCGAGGGGCAGCTGATTCCCCGCTTTCTTCAGGGAGAGTCCGAAGAAGGAAGCACTATAATACGCTCTGCCGCTCTTAGTGCCATTAACTAAACACCTGCCGGGGCCTGCCGACACTGCTTGCTTCACATCGCTGTATGATGATGCAGACGAGAACAATCGTCACTTGGAATGAGGTTGTGCCCAGTGCTGGCGTAGCTTTGACACGGTGGGAGTGTCAAGTTTCGGAGACTACTTGATGGTCTGGCAGTTGTCAGTTCGAACGTTGCACTTCGCTGAAGAACTGAAGCGCCAAGCTCGAAAGGTCGCGTTCGTTGTCGATATGTGAACAGCTTACTGGCTTTGCCGAAGGAATCCGGAGAAAGAGGCTTTGCTCTGATAGCATCCATCGGCACGAATGTGTCGAAGAGGAGTAACTATGCGATGACTCCGACAGCAGACTTCGGACCCAGGGAGTCGAAGGACTTTCCAGTCCCAGTTGCTTCAGGTCCGGGCTAAGAACTGTGAAGTATGGTTTGCGCGGTGGAGAATTATCGCTATTACTGCCATTCTATTGAAGCGAGGGAGAGGAGCGGGAGGAAAGGTGCAAGAAGCGATGCCGAGCTCGCGGTGCGCGCAACCCCGTGGGGCCGTCCACCGTTCGCCTCACCGGGGCCTCAGAACGGCGAAACTGCCGAGGGACCGGGTAAGATCGGCGGCTGGGAAGGTGATGCTCCTCGCCTGTCCACATTATGATGTGACATGGTATGATGTACGATGATGTGATAGGGTTGAAGCCCAAAGCGTTGCTCCGATGGACTCGAGCCCGTTGCAAAGCTCGTCATAACCTCCAGCCGAGAGTTTGCGAGTTGAAACGCCCTGTGATCCAAACTTCCAATCCCGAACCGACCTCATGTGCTCTTCCAGACTCAGGCTTAGCAGGCGGATGCTGAATGCTCGGGAAGACGAAGAGCAGACGCAGACCATGCATTGGGGTACGTGGTCACCAGGATAGTGCAACCAGTTCTCACTTCCCAAAATCGGCGCATGACTTCGCAAATCCACAAGTGTCAGGACCCTCCGAGTCAGTCTGCATTGAGGTGGATCAGATGGAGAGGAAGGCACCATGATACAGCAAAGGGATCTAGGCAGAGAACTCTTTTCCGAAGTTACGAGTCTGTCCTCGGCTGTACCGACTTGCAGGTCTACAGCGACGCCATGGCATGTGGCTGGACACAGCAGTCTGGCCGGATACATGCAGACTTCAAGATGCGGTGTCGGCCTCAACGACTGCGCTTGCATGCAAGGCATCGTTGCCATCATCTAGCTCTCCTTGCTGCCACTGATAAAGAGCTTGCCGTTGCCGGACAGCCCTTGTCATTCCAAAGATTTGAGGTTTCGCTGGACAGGCCAGTCATTGCAGCACCTCGTCTGAATTGGTCACCAGCAGCGGAGGCGAGCTGATCCTTCTGTCTGTGCCGCGACGAGAAACTCAAACAGGAGATTGGATCAGATCTCTGGACCAGGCCTCCTGGCTGCCTGTTTCCACAGATAATATATACCCACATACATCCAAAGTCATCCAAAGTCCAAAGTCCAAGGGTGCTGATCCTGCCGCCGCCAGCATATATAGACCAGGGCGTTCAACTAGCGGCGCGAGGGAAAATTGCCTGTTATTCTAGACGTAGCCTAGAGAGGCATGAGCCAGTCAGATACGCATCAGCCGGAACGGAAGTGGCCAATGTCTCCCTGTGCCAAGTTGCGGCCTTCGTGTTTCCCAGCGTGCTCTACAATCTCAGCGGGAGCGAAGCGCATGTTCCCCTGTCTCGCAGATCGGTGGAGAGGTACTCTTTGGAGTCTCGTGTCGGCTCATGTCGGCTCCGATGGGATCGGATAGCTAAGGTTTTCGACGACTGGCACAGGGAAGGCGAATCCACTGAGCCATGAAATCTTCTTCAAGAAGCTAGCTGCTTAGGCGCTGGCACCGTATCCTCCATGTCTCACTTGTTCGAAGCAACTCTGTCTTTTATTCTTCGGTAGCTGCACAAGCGGAGCTTAGGACGCTTGTGAAGAGTGCAAGATTATGTAAAGAGGTTACCTTTTGGCATGACAATCATGCATTCCCATGTCACCATCCGGCTTCTCAAACAGTACAGTGTTTGACTAGCTCCGAGCGACTGTTGGTTGCCGGCAAACTGCGAGCCCTCGTGATGAGATGACTACCGCCCAGTTGCGATGCAACGTCGGGTCCGCCGTGGGCGATCTGCCAAAGCGAGATGCAATGGAAAGCCAGGGCTTTGCCGGGGGGCGTTTCTTCGTGTTGTGCCCTTCTTGGATCACTTCAGGGCTGTAGAAGTGCTCAGAATCAAGCCAGCCAAGGTTGACTTGCCTGACAACAGGACTCGGTGCTGCACCGTTCCTGTTTGTACAGCGCCAAGAACATGTGGTATTGCAAGTTCCACTGTGAGTTCCGAATGTTACAGCGAGTATGCAGTATGCCTGAGTGCGCTTTGAGGTACATCCTGGCCACATTGGAATCTGGGGCTTGTCCGTGGCCAACGCCGCTGCCTCAAGCGGCCACTCCCGCGTTGCACGCTTCGCCGCCTCAGGCGGTGGCCGCCGGCATGATGCTAGCAGCGTCTTCCGGCATGCTGCTGGAGGCGGACAGTCTAGTCAGTCTACATAGTCACTAGTCAGCAACAGGGAACAGACTGTGTCGTCAGGCTCACGAGCATTGTGGGTTTCTGGACTGGCAGATATTTGCTGGACTTCTGGCAAGCCCCTCAAACAGCCGAAGTGTCATGCTGGTAGACGTGGCGCGCTTGCTTTCGGAGATGTCGCTTCTTGTCAGGCGGGTGGGCTCTTCATCCGAGCGAGCGAAGGCCTGCATGGGGACGACGAGGAAGAGGCGCGACCAGTATGGACTTCACACGCCCGCCGCTTTGCCTTCCCAGAGTGCTCCGAAACCTCCAGGAGTCGGAGATCGCCGCGTTGCACGAAGCGCTCGTTGAGAGGATAGCACCTGCACAGGGTATTCTCCGCTCCCTGCCTAGTCGAGTCCTCTATGCAAGCCTTCGCAACAGACAATCAACGCCAAAACTTCGGTTTCTTATTTAGTTCACTAAAGCTTGGCATGTGTCCTGTCTAAGCCGACAGTGGTTGAACTGAAGATGGGGCGTGTCACAGTCTGGCGTGCCTAGAGATGCATTTTGTGTAAGTCTGTGCCACCGCACTCAAGCATGCTCCATGGATTTGCGGTTGATTGGAGGGTTTATGGTAGCAGGCGAGGATGTTTTGCTGGGCTCTTGAGTCTGGCGCATCCAGGAAGCAGTGGCGAAAAGCCATGCTTATCTTCACCGTGATGCTCGCTGCTAAGCTTCTCCTGATGCACGATGGAGCGTGCGCTGGTGCTCGGGGAATCCTGAAGGTGTTGTTCCGTAATGCAACACAACTGCAACACCACCATCATTTCATCACCATCATCCACCTCACCACCGTCATCATCATCATCCCCCAATATCCCCCAATGAGAACACCGAAAATACAAATCTGAGATGGTTGCTATCACTCTCCTTAGCCTCAGCAGCTTCTTTTGATTCGCCGACGCAGCTAGGTTCTGCCACTCTGCAGCGGAAGGTATCGCGGTGGGCGTGGCCTTCAGCAGGCGAAGCATCCCCAGACGGTCCAACGCAGACCTGGGGTTTCGGGCCGAACAGGCGACTGAACCATGAGTTCGGGGTCTACATCTCCTTGCTCCTTGCAGCCAGGGCCTCCGCATCGTGTTAAGCAGTGCAAAGCCCGATTGCCACCGGTTGTAGGAAGGGCCGGCACTTTTATACCCTTGACGTTTCCGTTTCAGGTGCACAACGTTCCTGAGGGCCTCGCGGTTGCACTTGTTCTTGTTCCACGTCTGCCTGGCGCAGTTGCAAGGGAGCCAACGCGTTCATGTCGACAGCACAGTCATTCCGTGGCAGGCGGAGTTTCTGCGACGCTGACCGCTCTGATTGCCATCTTGACGAGTGTTCCACAGCCGCCGCTGGCAAGCCACCACAGCTCCCGCTCCCAAGTGTGCGAAGAAACACACTGTTAGCCTAGGCACTAGCTGCGTTCCTCTTTGTGGAAGTGGGCTCCTGAGTGTCGACTTTTGTGCCACCTGCATTGCATCACATGCTGTCGCGTTGAATCTCTGGGTGCCTTGGTTGCTGTACCGCAAGCGACTTGTCGAGAAGGGCTCTATTAAAAATTGCTGGATTCGTTTTCGTGAAAGTTAATGGCATGTGAGTTGTACGAGTTCTCGTGCTGCTCAAAACCCAAGCTGCACACGGTGTGCTGGCTGTGTCTCTGTCGCTGTTCTCGTGTGTGGCGACTGTGAAAAACAGTTGAACCAAGGAAGAACCGGAAAAGCCACGCGGATGAGGGAAACATGTCGAGCTTTCTGAACCTCGACGCTCAGACCAGGAACACAGCTCCAGCATTGTACACCCAGCATTGCATGCACACCTGTTCTTTTCGTCTGGCTGTCTTTTTCCGGTAACAGCCCCGAGCCGCACTGACGGCTTCTTGGAAGTGCACAGTGCAACATGTACAGTGTGCAGGCTACTGCATGTAGGACCGAGGGCTCATTCTCATGAAGCAGGTTTGATGCCGTCGCAGTCTCTCCACTCGTAGCCCGGTCCGTCACAAAATCGAGCACTCCCATTGAGCCGTTCCCACGAGCTGGGTCTGGGATTGGAGACCTAGGTTTTTCAATGGCTGCTGCCACTGGGGCTTGCATTTGCCGCAGGCGGGGTGTCACTCCCCAACACCCTAGTTCTGCCTTCAAAATACAGAGATGCATTTCATTAAGCGGATAGGAAGGTACAAAAGCAGTGTGTTCCGCACAGACTCGGACATGTTGAGCTCCTGCATTATGGTTATCAAGACAGACAATACACGGTAATCATATAGAGTACAAACCCCCGCACAACACACACAGAGATGCAGACACACATACATACATGCATACATGTTTGCATAAGCATGTGCATCACTGTCGAAAGGTGCAATGGTCTATGTAAGCCTGCACGAACTTTTGGTCGAGTCAGTGGAGCAGCTGGGGGTGACCAAGGCTACCCTGGCTCGGGCCCGAGAATGGCTTGAGGGCCTTCAATGGTTTTGAAGGCTTTGGTGCTTCTGCGGGTTTGTCCTCATGTACAGGTACTTGAGTGTGTAAGTGGGAAATATGGGCACAGGAGTCCACAAGACAGAGCATTCATTCCAAGCAACTTCCGACCCCGTGCAACCAAGCATGTCGCACTTCAACTTCATGCCGGTTCCGCACAAATGGCCATGTGTGCATGGGAAAGTCGTTGAACGTCGTTGCTTCAGTGGGAAGTATTGACAGATGCCCTCGAAGCAAGCGGCCATCCTGCGACCGAGGCATCTTCACTGTCCTTTGTCACGATGGCTGGGTGTATTTACGCATTGCAGCTGCTTGCCTTGTGGTGTGTCTGCGACCAGTCACATTGCACCACAGCATAGCAAGTATGCTGCTCAGGTTCATCACCGGTATCTGATTTATCATTTTTCCTTCATTGACTTCAATGCGACAGGAGAGTATCCTGAGTGTGTTGCAGCGACTGCCAGCATGCCACCGTGTGCTCAAGAGAGATGGTGAGGAGTGACCGGGAGACTTGAGCAGGGCACATGGTGCCTTGCAAGCAGCCATGAGCAGTTGTCGCTCTCCAAATCGCCGAACTCCGAAATTCCAAATGCTGTCCCTGCCAAAAGAGCAGAAGATCAACTCATGCCACACTCCGAAGGGAGCAAAGGCTGGCGCTTGGCCTTCAGCACTCTACCTTCATCCTGGCGGAACACCACGCTAAATTTGGGGCAGACTGCTGCTGTACAGCTTGTTTAGACTCAGCTTCTGAGGTAGCTCTGGACTTGGGGCGCTTCCCGTAGAAAGCGTGATGCCTCGCCCGCATTAGTGTGAAAATGGCTCGTGCACTGTTCCCTGAGAGACGTTACCTTGCGAAGGATGTCGATGGATGCTCACAATCGCATGCAGTCGCATTCCCTGTTGAGAATCGCCGAATGCAGCGCAATGATCGGCTCCCGAGCGTGAACCACCTAATTACAGGCAATTACGGGTAACTGCCTGTGGCAGTATTCAAGCTTTCGGGTGTCGGGTCTGCCCATGCTCGTGCAGCCATCATTGGAGACACACTGACAAAGTACTCTCGAAGTCGTCTTACAGCCATGCTCGATGAAGGCTGCGACAGAGGCGAGTCTTTGTTGTCATCCTGCACAGTGCCAATCTTCATGTGCACGCTTCCTGCACACTGGATGGGTCAATGCATGTCATGTGTGCCTGTCCGCATTTGTGGATGCATTTGCATAGAGTCGTCGAGCATTTATGCAGTCTGTGTGAACTTTTGTGTGTATGTATGAATGTATGTAAGTATGTAGCGTAATGTAAGGTAATGTAGTGTAATGCCAGCAACACAAAGCAAGGCCGTGTAATGTAATGTATGCGGGGTGAATGTGTGCACATTACAGTATATGGAATCTGTACGAATGAACGAAAGTATGTATGCATGTATGTATGTATGTATGTATGTATGTATGTGTGTATGTATGTATGTATGTATGTATGTATGTATGTATGTATGTATGTGTCTGCGTGTATGTGTATTTACACCTATGCATATATATATATATATATGTTTCCTTCTTGTATACTTATATATACATACATACATACATACATACATACATACACACATACATACATACATACATACATACATACATACATACATACATACACACATACACACATAAACACATACACATGTGTGTGTGTGTACGTGCATGTGTATGTGTACGTGGTATGTTTATGTCTCTGTACGTGCGTATATGGTATGTGAGTGTGGCTCTGTGTTTCAGAAAGTGACGGTTGTCATCCGACCGTGTATGCATGTATGTGTCACATACAAGTCTTCGGGCCTTTCTCGATGCGGCTGCGTCTCTCCTTCCCTTAACGGTCTTTGAGACTTATGTGCTGTAGATAGCGTTATATAGTTATCAGCTAACAGGAGACACGCCGATGCCGCTGATACTGAGGATCCAACTGTGTTGGAAAAGCAGCTCCGCAAGGCATTGAGCCCCGTCCATCTGGGCACCGGCTCCCTGGGTGCCCACTTGACCGCCTTGGAATTGGCAGGCTTCTGCGGAAGGTCGGGTTGAAGATGTGAAGCTGCTACTCCAACAGGCCCGCCAGGCTTTGCAGCATGTGACTGGGATGCATCCGGTGCTGTGAGTGCAGCGGAAGTACTGCATGCAGGTCTCTGTCAATGCGAAGAACGAGTCGGGAAGTACGCCGCTCCATGAGGCCCGCCTCTGACAGAGGCATTTGATAGCCAAGGCTCCCCAACCGAATCTGCTCGTCAGGCGGCCTTCGCCGGGCATGTAGAGGCTCAGCTCGACCTTGTAACTCTTCCTGCAGCCACAGGGGGGCCCCTGGAGGTTTGTGCCGTCCTCCTGGCGCACGGCGCCGAGGCCACCTTCATGACATGCATGAGCCTGAAATCTAAGCGTGACAGCCGCTGAAAGCATGTCGCCCGTGCCTTCATCAAGCGAGGCAGCTAGTCTTGAATGTACCTCCAGGTATCCGAGTCTTATCAGAGAGTAGCTGGTATTTGAGCACGCAGCCGATAAACAGCAATTTTATCTTCGTAGGCGAGACTGTGGCGCATCACCAGATTCGATGTAGCAGTCTGGTGGTTTTGCAGTTCTTTTCTTCACGTCATTTGTTGGGTCGGTACGTGCCTCAGACACGCTCATTTAACACGGTGCCGTAACTTCCAAGCTTTGTTTTGCCGCAGAGGAAAGGATGTCAACGAGGAGATTCTCAAGATTCGCAAGGTGCGACTCCAGGGCGTTTTCCTAGACAGATTGAAAAGAGAGAGTTGAAGCATATGTTATGGTATGCTGTTGGAGCCCTAGCAGAGCCATCTTCAGCTTCGGCTCGGTCCCAGCAAGACGGGTCCTCAAGTTCTAAGTAAGAACATTGGGACGGTTGGGGCATGCGCAAATCCTCTAGCCACAACATGCCGTCACAACTGGGAAAGGTTCAAGAGACGCTTGGTTGAGGTTTCTGAGTCTGAAATCCTAGCCGTACCAGATGCAGTGAAGTAGCACGTAAAACTCAGGGGCAAGACTGGCCGAAGGCTGCAGCAGCCGTGGGAATGGACATAAAAGGCAGAAATTGCCAAATCTCGGATTTGCCAGGGCTTTCAGATTTTGAGAACCTGGACCTGCTGCCTGATGAAACGTAAAGACGCGTGGGAGTTTCTCAAGCTTCACAGCTCCCTGTGCGTCGCCCCACAGACACCGAAAACAGCAGGAGCCGGAGCGAAGAGAGGTGTAGAACGGGCTGCTCTGAGAATGTCTACTGAATTTGTAAGCTTTTCTCGATGTGGGCGACGTTCGGCTTGTGCTCTCGGCATATCCTTCCGTCGCTGTTGGTGATCTGAGCCTTGCGCCACCTGACAAGTTGCATTCCAGCAGACTTGGGGAGGTTTGTCTGTCCGATGCAGTGGTCCTCAGCAGCTCGTCAAGCAAGACGGATGCTGGGGAACAGCTGCAGCTGCGTCAAAGCTGCTTTGTGTGCTCGTTCTCTGACCTAGGCAGTCGTGCTGGTGACAGCTTGCATATGCCTGTGTCAGCATCTTCCCTTTCTCGCTGGTCCCGTAAAGGTGCGCCTTTGTGTTGCCAGAGCAATCGTACTCATGTAGACCACAAGAGAACAGGTGTCCACGAAGAGGCCGCTTCCTGAGCATCTGACTGAAGTAATCGGCGGTCTGAGCGCGGTTTGACAAGCGCTTTCGGAAGATTAACGACGAGCCTGTCAGGAGCCCGCTTCCAGTTTCTATGAATGCTAGCAATGCTGGCCGGCAAACAATCTCAAAGGCCTAGTACAACGCGATTACGTGCGCTCAGCGGCCGAACTTCAAGAGCTATTGTGGCTGAGAGCCCGGTGTTGTGACATCATCCATGAAGTGTTGCAGATGGTCGGGTGAAACGTAGTTCTCCACGCGGCATTGCCGTAAATGCCGCGTGAGGTCGCGTCAGATGCCACGGGCTCCGCTCTTGGCACCTTGCGGTTCTTGTTCTGCATGCTATCCTGTGAAAGTGGCTTTTCCGTGCTCCCCACTTGTCTCATCGGTCGAAAGGTGGGGTTGCTAATATCTTGCAACTAAGTGAAGACCTGATGAGTGCGGAATTCGCAGATCTTTTTTGCCAATGAGGTGCGACCGCAAGCAAGCTTCTGGACGGCCTGCTTGCGCAGCTGCAGCCCCGAGTTGTGTGGAGCGCTTGGTTCGCGAACAGACTTCTACTTGGATTTTGTGAGGTTCGAAGATCCCGGCGAGATTGATCTCATCCGCGCTAACAAGGCTACCAAAACGATTTTGCCTCTGCGTGGACCATAGTGTTGGGGCAGAGCGGGCAGAAGATCCCGGCATGGCACAGCTACGTGCAGCTTTGGCCAGCCTGCTCATGCTCCTGTTCCCGCGCAGCAGGTGACCACGGTTGATCAACTTCACGGCTTGATCCAGAGTACGCAGACAGGATTGGTGAATTCGATTTCCACGTGCTTCCACGCCAAGATGATGCGAGCAGCAACATCGCACCAGGCAGCAACACGCTAGTGTTGGCAACATTCGTTGCATGGCCCTTACAGAAGATCTCGAAGTCATTGCTTCGTCCGCAGCTTCGCTCAGTTGTCAACGTCACTGCAAGCCCTCTAAGGATCCAACTCTTGTTGGGTGGGTTGAGGGCCCAGTTTCTGAAGGCCCCCTTGGTCAGATATTGGGCTATGAGCAATCCCAGGCAAAATCCTTCTGTGAGGAAGCGGGTATCCGCTTTATTGATGTCGAGCGCTCAGAGGTTCACGGGTCGGCACTGATGGGAGTGACCTTCCTCGTAGGTGATGTCACCCCTCCTGGACGACTTCAGCAGCTTCTTCGAGGACACTGCCCTGGGCTTGCCGGGCAGAGCGAACACCGCTCGCTGGGTAGCCCAGAACACCGATTCGAAGGCCATCTTGCTGAGTTCTCAAAGCCTTGCCCAGGCCTGGACGAGAGAAAAGTCTCAAACTTGGTTTCCAAGGAGTTTCTGGGGCCGATTCCTCGGCGTTCTGAGTTGGGGCCACGAAGTGCCGCCTCTGGATTTTGTCTGACTTGCAGGATGGTGGAAGCAGTCAAATGGGGACAGAAGCACGTTGCCGGCTTGAACGCCCAGGCGGGTTCTCTGGGGCGAGTGTCGTCCGCTCCCCTCCAGGAACTTGCATCTCAAGGTTGATTGACTGACGGGACGTATGAAGCCGTTCCGGAGACAGCTGCCGTTATGAGATGTCTTCCTTCCGTGGTACACTTTTGCTGCTTCAGGGATGGGGAGAAGCTGATATTGTTCTGATAGGCCGGTGCCCGAGGTCTGAAGTTCTGAAGACACCGTTGCCATGATCATTTGAGTCTTGAAAACGGGAGCCTTGCCAAGGTCCGTCTCGAGT